GAAGAGGTAAAGGTCAACATAAAGGAAGAGATCAAGAAATCCATGAAAGACCTCCAATGCATCCCTGATATCGCCTGGCTTAGTTGTGAAAACTTATGTATTCATCCAAATTTGGACCTTCCAGAAGGGTTCAAGATCCCAAAGTTTGACACCTTTGGAGGAGTGGGAAACCCTATGGCTCATTTGAGAGCCTACTATGACCAACTCGTGGGAGTTGGAAGGGATGAAGATTTATTGATGTGGCTTTTTAGCCGAAGCCTGTGCAGAGAAGATCTTGAATGGTTCACATCGCATGAAACGAGGCAATGGCCCAGCTGGAATGCATTGGCCGAAGATTTTATCGATCGATTTGCTTACAGAGTAGAAATTGTTCCAGAAGGATACTCTTTGGAGAAGATGAAACAAAAATCAATCGAGAGCTATAGGGAGTTCGCTTATAGGTGGAGAAAAGAAGCGGCAAGGGTGATACCACCCATGTCTGAGAAAGAAATTGTTGAAGTATTCATGCGCGTGCAAGAGCCTGAATATTATGATAGAATTATGTTGCTCATTGGAGCAAAGTTTGCCGAGATAGTCAAGATTTGTGAGACTATCAAAGACAGTTTAAAATCAGGAAAAATAGCTTGTGTAGACGCATCGCCTGGATCTTCAGGGTTGTTGAAAAATAAAAGAGAAGAAATCGCAGTTGTTTCATACGGGGGAATGAAAACCCCTAGAAGCTCATTATATTCCCAAGGTCGTTCCCGGCCTTCCCCAAAGTCCTACCAAGCTTGCTACACGCAATCTAGTCATCCCAATAACCAGAATGCTACCCCCCATTCATCCAAACGTCCAAGCTCCACTATACCAAAGTCCACCCCCGAGTTACCGAAGTCCATCTCCCATTTACCAATATAACCCTCCACCCTACCAAATTTCATCTCCCTACCAGGGTGTTGCTCCCAACTATGCTAACGTGCAGTCGAGCTACCGAGCACCCCCTCCTTTTTATCAAGTCCAAGCTCCACTATACCGAAATTCCCCTCCGAACTACCAAACTCCATCGCCAAACTACCAAACAAATCCATATCCCAGAAGCCAAGCTCCCCGTCCAAATACCAGAAGTCATCAACATGTGCCTCCTCCTTAACAAGGCAGTCATGACTCTCCCAGACCCAGATTCCAGAAGAAACCTCCAAGGAACTTTACTGCGCTCGCTAAAAGCCAAGCAAAGTTGTACGAGCGACTGGATGCAGCTACGTACATCCACCATGTGGGGCCCAAACCCGTGGATGTCAATTCAAAATTCTACAGACCCGATAAGAGATGTGCTTATCATTCCAACAGTGTTGGGCATGATACTACCAACCTGCTTTTAGACGGGGCAGAGACGGTTGAAGATTGTATCAACCTCAAGCACAAAATTAAGGATTTGATTGATCAAGATGTAGTCTCTCTCCAACCGGCGGCACCAAATATCAACACCAACCCGTTGTCGAATCATGTGTGGCAATGTGATCTGGAAAATGATTACTCCCATCGTTCATGATGATCTAGAAAAGGTTGTTGCTTCTTTAAGCATTAAAGAGAAGAGAGAGTTCGTTATTTTGACACCTGCAAAGGTTATTTCTTTGGTGCCATCAAAAACTCTCGTCAAGCCTAAGTTCGTCATTGAAACTGCTGCTGCTCAAGCAATGACCAGGTCTGGAAGATGTTGGTGAGCTTGCTCTCGGAGGTCAGAAGAAGGATCAAGCTAAAAGGCCAATAAGCGAAGGAGAAGCAGAGGAATTCTGGAGAAGCATGCAGCCAAATGATTGTTCTATCGTCAAACATTTGGAGAAGACTCCAGCTCAGATCTCCGTATGGGCCCTACTGATAAGCTCCCAATCCCACATGCAGGCTTTAATGAAGGCTCTCGATAAGTACGTACTCGCGGGCACAAGCATCGATAACGTGGCCTCCATGATTTACCAAGTTATTTGAGGGCACTGAATCAACTTTTATGACGATGAGCTGCCTTTTGAAGGGAGGTAACACAACAAGGCGTTGCACATCACTGTGGTATGCCGCGAAATGGTTGTAAACCACGTCTTAGTAGATGATAGATCTGGTTTGAATATTCGCCCGTTGTCGACGTTGAGGCAGCTAAGGTTTGACCTTGGGAAACTGGAGCAAAACCAAGTAAACATGAGAGCCTTTGATGGGGTTTAGAGAGATACGTTGGGAGCGGTAAATTTGATCATTCAAATGGGTCCAGCGCAATTCAGCGCACAATTTCAAGTATTGGATATTAATACGAGCTATAACCTTCTTCTAGGAAGGCCTTTCATCCATATGGCTCGAGTTGTCCCTTCTACTCTACATCAGATGATGAAGCTTGTGTGGAAGAATGAAGAGCTATTATTCATGGCGTAGGGATTCACTCTGGAAGACAGGCGCGAATCATTGATGAAGTATCGCGAGGTACAAATTTTTATACGTGGAGCTGGTGAATGCCACCGGTGAAGACTTGGCCCCACAGACTCCCATGCTTGTTGTATACAAGACGATAGCCACTGTGATGCTGCAGAATGGTTATGAACTGGGTTTCGGATTGGGAAGAGTTTCCCAAGGAATCATTGAGCCTGTTCCAATCCTCGTTAAGGGATCCAGATATGGTTTGGTGTACATCTCCACAGATGATGACATGAAGATGAAGAAGAAAAATGATCAAGCATTGGCTAAGCCGATCCCACATCTGTATCAATCCTTTCCAATCTGGGAGGATGCCGAGCATGAAGACCTCAAGGAAGGAATCTGTGACCTCATCGAGGAGATAAATGTTGTTGTTGAGAAAGAGGTCGAGCTAGCTGGTATCCACGATGCTGAGCCAGGGGAGGTTCTGCGGAACTGGACCTCCACTCCCATCCTGATACCCCGAACTCTTCGGTAGAAAGACATCATTTCATGAATATTAAAATCGGTGATAGTCTGGAGTAGGCCCGAGACCCACCATTTTGCATTTTCTTAACTGTTCGAATTTTGGAATTTTCATTGTGATGTTCAAAAAAGGTAGCAACCTTGTCCAAAGTGTGCATTGTTTTTGAATTTGAATGAAAGCCTCTTTGTTTTTTAATCGTTTGTTATACTTTACTTTCCTAACTTTGTCTGTTTATAATTTCAGTAACATAATTTATAGACCCGCCAATGTCATGTCATGTCACGAGCTGAATGAACAAAATGGGGTTGATAATGACGAGGTTGACTATTATGAAGAAGAAAGTGAGGAACCAAATTATGTTACCGGGGAATTTCGGCAGTTCAAAAATCAGCATAAACCAAATCTAGAGGAAACAGTAAATTGGGGGTATTCAAAACGTGTTAAAGAAGTTAAGATCAACATCCACCTAAATGAAGCTCAGAAAGAGGGACTAATTCATTTGCTTACTGAATATATTGATGTGTTCATTTTGGAAAGTCGGTGATATGCAAGGGTTGAGTACCGATGTCGTATCTCATAAGCTGCCGATTAACCCGGGGTTTGATCCGGCGAAGCAAAAAACTCAAAAATTTAAGCCTGAACTGAGTTTAAAGATTAAGGAAGATATCACCAATCAGATAGAGTCCCGATTGGTGAAAGTGACACAATATCCATCTTGGTTGGCCAATGTTGTTCTTGTCACCAAAAAAAGACGGAAAAAACAGGATTTGTGACGACTACAAAGATCTCAACAAATCTAGACCGAAGGATAATTTTCCATTGTCGAATATTCATATTTTGATTGACAATTGTGCTAAGCATGAAATGCAGTCATCTGTGGATTGTTACGCAGGCTATCACCAAATTCTAATGGATGAGGAAGATACAGAAAAGATGAATTTCTTTACACCTTGGGGTGTATATCATTACAGAGTAACGCCGCTTGGCCTCAAGAATGTTGGTGCCACCTACATGAGATCTATGACGACTATATTTCACGAAATGATTCATAAGGAGATTGAAGTGTAGGTGGATGACGTCATAATCTAATCCCGCGAGAGTTCGGATTACTTGACACATCTAAGGAAATTCTTTGATCGTTTACGTCGTTAAAACATGAAATTAAACCCACCAAATACGTTTTTGGAGTTCCATCCGGAAAGTTATTGGTATTTATAGTCAGCAGAAGGGATATTGAGATCGACCCTTCCAAGATCAAATCAATTCAAAAGTTACCTCCGTCGAAAGTGAGAACAGAGGTGATGATTTTCTTGGGGAGGTTAAAATACATCAGTTGATTCATGGCTCAATCAATTGTGGTGTGTGAGCCTATTTTCAAGCTGTTGAAGAAAGACGCGAAGAGAGTCTGACTGTTTTTGATTCTATCAAGAACTATTTGTCCAATCCACAGGTATTGGTTCCTCTGCGAGAAGAGAGTCCTTTTTTACTGTACTTGTCTGTCTCAGATAGTGCATTCGGATGTGTACTTGGTCAATAGGACGAGACATGAAAGAAGGAAAGGGTTATCTATTATATAAGTATGAATTTTACTCCATACGAATCTCGTTACACTTTGTTAGAGAGAACATGTTGTGCTTTGACTTGGCTTGCCCAGAAGCTGAGACATTATCTGTCTTTTTGTACTACATACCTCATTTCTAAAATGGATCCACTGAAGTAAATCTTCCAAAAGGCGATGCCGACTGGAAAGTTAGCTAAGTGTAAAATGTTGTTGAGTGAATTTTACATTGTGTATGTGACTCAGAAAGAGATAAAGGCACAAGCTTTGGCTGATCATCTTGTAGAAAATCCTGTTGATGAAGAGTATGAACCACTTAAGACTTATTTTGACGATGAAGAAGTGTCATTTGTGGGTGAGGATATTTCTGAAGCATATCCAGGTTGGAGATTTTTCTTTGATGGAGCGGCAAATCATCAAGGTAAAGGTATTGGAGCAGTGTTAGTGTTAGAATCTCGTCAGCATTATCCCATGATGGCTAAGCTCCGATTTAATTGCACGAAAAACATGTCCGAATATGAAGCTTGTATTCTGGGTTTAAAAATGGCCATCGACATGAATTTCTATGAGTTGTTAGTTATTGGAGATTCAGATCTTCTGATTCATCATGTTCAAGAAGAATGGGATGTGAAGAACCCAAACATTATACTTTACGTACAGTATGTGCAGAAGTTGTTCAAAAGATTTTATAAGATCGAGTTCAGACATACTCCTGGAATACAGAATGAATTAGCCCATGATCTTTCCACCATCGCTTCGTTGACTAAACATCCGGACACAAATTATATTGATCCTCTGGATATAGTGTTGAAAAAACATTCAGTCTATTGTTCCCATGTTGAAGCAGAACAAGACGGATTGCCTTGGTATTTTGATATAAAGAAGTACTTGGAGTCTGGAACTTATCTCGAAGACATTACGTCCAATAAGAAGAAGTTGATACGCCGTATGGCTCTCAATTTCATTATAAGTGGAGAAGTCCTTTATAGGAGGACTCCAGATTTGGGTCTTCTAAGATGTGTGGATGTTGTTGAAGCTGTGAAGCTTATCGAACAGATACATGCTGGAGCTTGTGGCATGCATATGAATGGATTCACTTTGGAAAGAAATATCCTACGAGCCGGATATTTTTGGATGACTATGGAGAATGATTGTTGCAAGTTTGTGCATAAATGCCATAGGTGTCAAGTGCACGGTGATCTGATACGAGTGCCACCTCACGAACTTAATGTTATGAGTTCACCTTGGCCATTCGTATCTTGGGGAATGGATGTCATCGGTCCGATAGAACCAGTCACTTCTAATGGAAACAGATTCATTTTGGTTGCCATTGATTATTTCACCAAGTGGGTGGAACCAGCTTCTAAAAAGTCGGTAACTAAGAAAGTGGTGGCTGATTTTGTTCACAACAATCTGATATGTAGATTTTGAGTGCCAGAATCATCATTACTGATAAATGGTGCATATATCAATAGTCACCTGATGAGAGATATTTGTGAATAATTTAAGGTCACTCATCGGAATTCAATTGTTTATCGTCCCCAAATGGACGGAGCTGTAGAGGACGCCAATAAGAATATCAAAAAGATTTGAGGAAAACAATGTTGTCATGAGATGTTACCATATGCTTTATTGGGATACCGTACGATTGTTAGAATATCAATTGGAGCCACTCCATATTTGCTACTATATGGAACAGAAGCAGTCATACCTGTTGAAGTCGAGATACCTTCTTTGAGAATCATTTCAGAAGCCGAGTTAAGTAAAACTGAATGGGTTAGCAAGCGGATTGATCAACTAACTTTGATTGATAAGAAGAGAATGGTTGTCGTCTGTCATGGTTAATTATATAGGCTAAGAATGGTTCGTTCCTTTCACAAGAGAGTAAGAGCCAAAATTTTCAAAGTAGGTCAATTGGTTCTTAAGCATATTTTTCCTCATCACGACGAGTACAAAGGAAAGTTCGCACTAAACTGGAAAAGTTCTTACATGGTTCATAAAGTATTATCTGGAGGTGCTTTGGTCCTGTCGGAGATGGATGGCACCGTATGGCTTAAACCTATCAACTCGGATGCTGTCAAGAGATACTACGTGTGAAGCTTCAGTTTGCAATTTTGTTATTTACTTGTGATCATTCATTTTGCTTGTATTTGTTTTGCTTAAAATTGTACCCCTCTTGTAATGAACTACGTCGGACATGAATTCTCAAGAATGAGATACGTAGGCGTCCTAATGTAGGCCTCGGTCACCCCATTTATACCCTTTAAATATTTTTGTGTATTTGAACTGCGTTCAACCTGAATTCTCAAGAATGAGATATGTAGGCGGCCTATGTCAGCCTATGTTGGTTTATTTGAAATCTTTACTTTTGTTAGCCTTTGAGGGGAACTACGTTTGACCTGATTCCTGCCTCAACGGGATACGTAGGTCCAACAAGGGTTTGGTCATATCTCCTGTAAGATTTCTATTCCTCTTTACAATAAAAACTGGGACAGAATTTTTGGGAGGGACTCAAAAATTCTCGAGAAGAATATTCTTCCTTATCAAGTCAAGACTGAAGATATTTCGAGATTTGCAACTAGGATAGAAATTTTGACAAGATCTCAAAAATTCCACGATAACTCAATTACATTAGAAGGATAAGCAAGACAGTTAACTGGGACAGAAATTTTGAGGATGACCTCAAAATCTCAACATGGGTTTATCTACAAGTTTGGAGTGACTCTAGAAACTCCTCAGCGAATAATCAGATAAACATCAGAGCATCAGACTCAAAGAAGTTTGTTAAGCCTCATATTACATGACTTGACAGTGACCTTTTTCAGATACTATTTCTCTTAAATTTTCCCTTCTACATTTCATTTGTTTTGGCATAAAATATTTTGTATCATCTATCAAGAGTTGGGAGATCGGGAAATCAACCGGAGATAGTAGGACAAGGAGCAGACAATTGAAGAAAGCGACACAGATTAGTTTGTCTTAAAACTAAACCATTTTCTGTGGACGTAGGCTTATAGCTTTGCTGCAAAAGCAGCAAATTCTTCCGATGGATGAATATGGAGAAGTCAAGTGAGGGAAAAACTATCCCAAAATCAATAGTTTTCCAAGAATCAAGAATCATTTTATATCACTTATGTCAGAAACTTGGGAATATGAATTGTTTAATTCAATTAATTTTTGACAACATGAAATTTGTAAGGAACGTCCAGCTAGAATCGAAGGTGAATCAAGCAAAAATATCAAGGAAGAGTTTACAGTTTTTGTAAAAGACGTCATTTGCATCATAATGTCGGATATGATAGTATGCATTACCCGGAGGGGTCAATTATTTTATTGTCTATCAACACGATATACTATATGGAAGTCGTTTTACCTACATCATCATTGGAGACGATATGATTATCCAGAAAGCACCCAGAAGATCACAATGTTTCTCTATTGAAGCACAATCTTCATTTGGTACCAAGGATAACATCAAGAGTTAATATTCATGCATTGCGAGTCAATATTCATGCATCGCATAAGATCATGCATCGCGAGTCAATAATCATGCATTGTGAGTCAGTATTCATGCATCGCAGAAGATCAAGCATCGTGAGTCAATATTCATACATCACAGAAGATCATGCATCGCGAGTCAATAAGCAGGCATCGCGAAAGGTCATGCATCGTGAGTCAGTATTCATGCATCACAGAAGATCATGCATCGCGAGTCAATATTCATACATCCCACAAAATCATGAATCGCGAGAAAGATATTTATTCCTCGCCTAGAGTTATGCATCGCGGGAAGTTTTTATGCCTCGCAAAAAGTTATGCATCACGGGAAGATTTCATATCTCGTAGAAATTTATGCATCGCGAGAAGATTTTATACCTCGCAGAAATTTATGCATCACGAGAAGATTCTTTGCCTCGTTGAAATTTATGCATCAAGAGAAGATTTCATATCTCGCAGAAATTATGCATCGCGAGAAGATTTTATACCTCACAGAAAGTTATGCATCGTGAGAAGATTTCATACCTCGTAGAAATTTACGCATCGCGAGAAGATATTCCTGCCCCGCAAGAAGTCATGCACTGCCAGAAAAGGAAATCGTGTCTCCCAAGAGAAATATTTACCCATCGGCATCAAATGCATTCTTTTATTTTGATAAAAGTAAACATCAAGAAGATCCTCGAAAACAAAGAAAATATCAACATTGCATAAGATTTTATTTAATTTTCAAATGAATAGTACATTGAAGGTTATATTGCAAATGCAAGACACAAGCTTTATTTTCTTTACGTCGAACCAACCGAGTTGACGTCGAAGGTCAAGGAGAATAATTAAATGTCGACATGGTAAAATACATTGTCTCCCATAACAATTGCATTTTTAATCTAACGAGTTTTTATCTCAGTCTTTGTCGAGGGCATCGAAAAGGATAAATTCTCCAAAAAACTAGAGGTGCAGACGACGTCAAAAGGGACGCACCTCAAGGTGGAACTTTTTCTTAGCAGCGAACTGGGACACAATCAAAAGAGGAATGTCAAACTCTTAGGACGCGAGAGGAGCAACGACTTCCACCACAATCAAACACACCCCAATCAGAATGCATGTTGGTTTTTCCTTCGGGTTTTGTCAGTTCCGATTTTGCATCCGGATTTTTGGTCAACTGGTAGCAACTTTCCAATCTAAGTGAAAATGCACCAAGGGTTTTTGGAAATTATGTCCGTGTAAGTTCTTAATTATGGGTGTGAAGTGCACAACATTCATGGCTAAGAGGTTACAAGCCTCCTTTTCATACTCTTTTGATTTGTCACTTGTCCAGAACCAAAGGTTATCTAACATAATGGATTTCCTTTTCAACCATTCGAGTCGAATACAAGTGATTTGAATTCTCATATAGTGTGAGATATATTGGGAACTCATTTTCAGGGTTCAGCCATAATTCCTAAAGACGAATGTGTGGTTGGTCAAAATTGGAGTTGTCAATTTCATTTTCCTCAAATTTCTTGCATCATTTCGAGTAAAACGAGGGACAGTTGTTGACACCTGATTTTGACCCTCGACGACATAATTAATTAATGAGCTTCTTAATTCTAAACGACTTGAATAATTAGATCTTCTAAGGTTCAAATATATATATATATTAAAGTGTTTTTCGAATTATTCTAAGTTAATATTACTATTTTCATAATTTTTAGTTAATATATGTATATAACTAATATATTTTAGGATTATTCAAAAATTCGAATCCAAGAATATTTTATTGTGTTTAAATATTTTATTAGCCATTAAATAGTTTGCATTTTTGACTTAATTATGTCATAATTTCATCAATTATTTTATTTCGTTAAAATTAAGAAGCTTATTTAATTGATTTATATTAATTAATCTCATCTAGTTAGAAAATATTTAATCCATTTGGGCAGCCATTTTGGGCCTCTTATTTTTCAGCATTTCCATCGAGACCCGGCCCAAAATCCAATTGTGAAGAAAGAGGTACACACTGTGAGCAGATTCCTTTGAAGCATCAATTTCCTTTTTTCCTCTTTGGGAATGAGTTATAATTCCCCAGAAAAGGTGGTCTCCCCTTTTTGGTGCGGTGATTTGAATTTCAAATTATGGGGTAAGACCAGGGGTTGATTTGGTATTTCACAGAAATTTGAAACCCTAATGAACCTCCTATATATTGTTTTGTTCTCCTTGGCTAAAGGAGGTTTTTTTGGGGGAGAGTAAAAAAAATCCTTTGAACTAACAATAGAAAAGAGGGTAGAAGCATTGAAAGAAAATATATTAGAGAGGTTTTCTTTTTGGATTTGGATTTTTTGGATAAAATCAAAAAACGGAAGGGTAGGAGAATTTCTTTGGGAAGAGACTTGGGAATAGCGGAAGAGTGGCTTTTGTTATTTTCTAGGAGTTTGAGTAAGAAATATTGAGAATTTGCTTAAGAAAATAACTCAGATAATATATAGAGATTCGTGTCTAAGGTGGAGGGGTGGATATTCGATTAAGTTATCCTGTTCCCTACTCGTCTCACTAGTCCGTGTTCAAAATCGGAAGTTTTTTCTTAGCTTCTTTTGTTGTAGTTTGGTTTTGTGCGTCGTCGCAGTGGTGGAAGTCTTCGCTCTCAAGCTCGTTTTGTCCAAGTCACGCTGCCCCGGAAAAAGTAAACTCTCTATTATTTTTGTTTACCTCATTGTTCTCTTGTCGTAATTTGGTTTTCCGCTCAAATGTTCTTCGCTTTTGCCTTGCATTCTTAAGCTAGTTTCTAATCGAATATTTGAATGTTCGTTCTTGTTTCTTTATTTATTTTCATTCATAGGTCATTACGAATGTCATTAGATTTGTCAACACTTTCACTCGTGTTTCTGTCTTACCTCGCTGTGTGGTTGTAGTAAATTTTAGTTTCCTTCCGTGGTAAAAGAATATTCATGTCTCCATTGCGATTTATAAAGCATCGAAATGTGCTAGAAGGTTATGAAATCATTTCATAGAGATATTTATGCATATATTTCTTTTAAAGAAGAAAATTTTTTATCTCTAAGTGTAGCTTAAAAATCTGAAAAATTCAGTCATTGTGGTAGCCACTTTGCACTTTTTATATGGTCTGGTTTTTTTTAATCTAAAAGATAAGCTGAAAATATCCGTGACTTTTCCTTCCTTTCCCAGATCTCTTCTTTCTTGGTTTAGCTTGTTTTAAGGTTGGTATGATCAGTTCGAATAGTGTTTGGCTAATCGAGGAAAGAATATGTTTGTGGGTACGGTTTTATGTCTAGTGTATCTTTGGTTGAAAATTTATTTTCCCTCTCTGTCGTCAAACTTAATAGTTAGGATATTTAAACTACCTCTGCAAGTTTGAATTTAAATAAGACGATAAACTTTACCTTTTCTGGTGCAGCAAACCGGACAACGAGTTTGACGAATATGATTCCACCACCACTCTAAACTCAAACAGCCACAAAAGGGCAAAAAATTTAATACTATGGAGCCAAGAATTTCCATAATTTTTAGGATACTCTTTAGTCTCCTTAAAATACCCTCTTGAACAGTGAGAAGAAAGGGGTTATATAGGACAACTCTTAGGTCGAAATAGAGGGGGAAAAAGATGTGTGATTCAAATGGATTCTTAACGAAACTTGAATGGACGTCTGATTTAGCGCAAAGGATGAAGGAGGTGTGAGATTTTGACATTTGGCCGATTATCGAAATGGACTGGTACGGAGAGATAAGGTAGAACGGAAGAGGACGCGCGACCTATCGATTTGGTTACTGGGTTTTCGTCTTGTCGCGTTGTGGGTTGGGTGTACTGGTTGAAGAAAGAAAAAGAGGTGTGAAGGTGTAATCACACGTGTATATTGTAGGGAAGAATTGGGTCGATTGTTGAATCCGTAAGAATTGTATGGTGGGTCACTGTTTGGTTTGAAAATTAGGCTTATGTCATTTGGGAATTATTTGGTGGGCTGCGTAATTAAAGGTGGGAAAAGGCTGTTGGAGCCTGGAAGTGGGATAAAGGAAGAAGAAGGGTTGTGATTGGTATAATTTATTTGGGCCAAAATTGGTCTTCTGGGCATATCAAAGTAAGTTAAGGATCCAATTGGATATCAAAAGGAGAAGGTTCCTTGGTCTTGAAAATGATAAGATGATAAAATTTAGAACGAAATAAATTATGCTTTCAATCAATTATTAAACTTCTTAACTCAAAAAAACGTAAAACAATCATCTTGACAAAAAATCTTAATTATTTTTTTTGAAATAAAAATGCTAATTTAGTTAAAATACCATTTTAGTAAAATAGTTTTTCTAAATATTTATATAAAACTATATAAATCTATATATTTCAGGTATATAGAGATACATTTTATAGGAAAAAGGGAAATCGTCTTGAAAATGATTTCTAGAGTATTTTTTATTTTTTTTTCAAAATGATCTCTTCAAATTGTTTGAAGTTGGAGAAAACTTAAAGATTAATTAAATAGCGGAGGGCCAAAATGGGTGTCAACAATTTATCCAGTATGTAAATATCTCTATAAAATATAAAAATTTCATGGTCCCACCTAGGGGTGTCTGTGGTTCTAATTGGATCGATTATTGATTAAAACTAAAACCAAAGCAATCTAATCAATTTTTTAAATTTCTAAAACCAAACCAAACCAATCAAAAAAATAACCGTCGAAGTGATTATTGTCAGCTTGATTCGGTTTGGTTTTGTTATTCTGGTTTATTCGATTTGAAAGTAATAATTATTTTGAGGATATACGTATTTCGATAGACACAAACACCATGTATATAAACAATCTACAGAAAAGTTAATGTTAGTTCAGTAAAGCAATTAAGCAATATTAAAGTTATCATTACACGAACAAAACGATTCATTTGAGAGAAAGTGTGACTGTTTTATGTGAAGTACAATATATAAAGACTAAAATGGATTTTGATGGACTTGAATTTAAGATTGTTATACTTGAGCTAAAGTGTTGGCCTTGAGAAAATGGCAAAGTTAAAAACTTAAGTTAATTAAAATTTAACAAAATATTTTTCATTTATTTATAAATAATATATAAATAATTATAAAATTTATATATCTAATTTATCTGTTTGATTTGGTTATTTTTGCGATTAGTTTTTAGTAAAACCAAAACAAACCAATTAGCATCGATTTTCAAAATTTAAAAACCAAACCTAACACAGCTAAACAAAATATCAATAATTTTTAATCGGTTTGATTAGGAGTGTGGTTTGATTTGGTTGTTAACCATAACCATGAACACCCTAGTCCCACCTATATTAATTTATAGAGGTTTTCCTATAGGGGCTAATACATTTGTTCTTTTTCCTTTTTAGATATAGTGGCTAATATGTTTGTACTTTTTCCTTTTCAGATATAGCGGCTAATATATTTGTCCTTTTTCCTTTTTAGATGTAGTGGCCAATATGTTTGTACTTTTTCCTTTTTATATATAGCGGCTAATATATTTGTCCTTTTTCCTTTTTAGATATATTGGCTAATATATTTGTCCTTTTTCCTTTATAGATATAGTGGCTTATATATTTTTACTTTTTCCTTTTTAGATATAGCGGCTAATATGTTTGTCATTTTTCCTTTTTAGATATAGCGGCTACTTATATATTTATCTTTTTTCCTTTTTAGATATAGCGACTAATTATATATTTATCTTTTTTTCCTTTTTAGATATAGTGGTTAATATTTGACCATAGGTGTTCAAAAGTGGATATTACTTAATTCTCCCAAATATATGATGATGGATTTTTAGTATAAAAGTGAAAACCTTCAAGAGGACATATTATTAATCACATCAAAATGAAGCAATATGGCAAAAAGAGTTGGTTGAGAAGATATAATATCAGAATTGCCTTTGCATAGCATTCATCACATCTTATGTCGCACTAACCTTGACCTCAAAGATGCGGCGATAAGTTGTATGTTATCCAAGAGATGGTACCATTGCTGGACTTCAAGACCTAATTTGATATTCAATCAGTTGCAAGGCGACAAACTTATGCCCCTTGAAAACTATGCCAAGTTGGTTGATCAATCCCTGCAATCCCATATTGATAAAAAGTTACATCTTGAACAATTCATCCTTGCTTATTGTGATCCAGAAGTGGATTCTCACCTGGATACTTAGATTGAATTGGCGGTTAAACTCAATGTCACAGAGCTGGGGGTTCACCTTACCTTTTTAACATCATATAGATTACCTGATGTTATTTATGATGCTAAATATCTGAAATCATTGTCATTAAGTAGGTGCAAGATTGAATTTGATATTAGCACCACTCACATAAGATTTTGTTGTCTTGAGGCTCTTTCTTTGTGCCATGTCCATATTTCAGATGCACAATTACAAAGAGTTATCAACAGATGCCCATCTATCAGGATTCTAAGTTTAGAGTATTGTGAGAGTATAAGCAAATGTCATATTTTTGGCCTGGTACATCTCCAGTATTTGACTACAACTTCTTGCGAACTCCATAGTGTGATAGTCCAAGCTCCATATCTCCGATGCTTTAGATATAAAGAATATGCTGGACGGGAAAATATTCTTCCTTGCGAAATTGCTATTTTGGATGGTTACAATACTTTACAAACACTCGAGCTCGTTGGTGCCAGCATTACAGGACAACATTTTCAAGATATATTCTGCAAGTTCCCAAACATTTCAGAATTGGAACTAGAAAGTTGCTATAAGCTGAATCATATAGAGATTCAGAGTGAAAAACTCAAGAAATTCACCTTATTATTAGGGTTGAACACACTGGAAAAACTCACGATTCAAGCTCCAAATTTATTGGACTTTGATTTTCGTGGTACTAAAATTCCCTTCTCATATATGAATATGGATACTTCTTCCCTAGAAAGAGCCCGATTCCATTTCTTCATGCCCGCCACACACTTTGGATCAGTGGACAACAGTTGGTACACGAGTCTTCATCACTTTGTTCAACAATTCAAATGATTTCATGTTAATAATATCTTGCCGCGAGGTAGTTTACATTATTTCTATGCTTATGCCATTGATTTATGTTAAATTGGGTTTAAACTATGCCATTGACAAAATTCTTGCAGACCAAAAGCATCTTTATTTATGAAAATCCGAGAGAAACTGTTATTCCACCAACCCATGCTGTCGAGATATTCTTTGCATCTATGATGCGTGTTGAATCGATCATTGGAATGTTAATGTACAAGAGTCCCAATATCATTTCGATAATTGCATGTACAGATGGCAAAGCACTGCAGGTAATTTCTTGATTTATTACCTCAAAAACTACGACATTAATTTGAGTTTAACTTTTAGACACCGATAGTGTAAAAGAATTGGTTTACAATCAAAAAAATTATTGTTAAATGTTGATTACTCGTCTCACAAGCATTATTGTATGATGTTTTTTGGTTAAATGCAGGTGATGTCTACACTTAAAGGGTGTATACAAAAGGAAAATTGTGGTAAAGAATGTCCATTCAAGACCAAGTGGCATCGTTACTTAAAAGAAGTCATCAGTTGTAGAGGGACATCTGAAGAGGGAATGGCTGCCTCTACGTGGTATCTATGGTTGAAATCGACATCTCTAATTGACCAAGTGAATAATTTCGTGTTAAAATGGAAAGATGATGAAGCCTAGACCGAAGAGTTTGGCGGCTGAGTTAATTAGTGTGTTGAGCAGAAGTATGATTTATCACATATCTTAGTTGCAGTTGAAATAAATAGAACAGAATTCCTATATCTTGACAATGGAACATAAAACTCTGTTCTGAACTCTTTGTGTCGATCTAACTCATGCTAAACGTATATTCGTACATGCACACACAATCGATGATGATGATAAACTATGCAAGTGTATTTACATAAGTGATATACATAGATTTTTTCCCCTTTTGGCATCATGAAATTAAAGAAAAAAATAAACTTTAAATAAGGAAAAAAAATTAGGGCAAAACCCTAACAACTTTTAAATTTTAACTTTTCACATAACATATTTAAGATTATAAGATTAAATTATATTTTGATACATTCAACACATCTTTAGCACAACACCACAAAATTCAAAAGTCTTTCACTTTTTTCAAACTTCATATGAAGTAAAAAAATCAGAAAAACACATTGAAATGAGGGGAGTATATACTTCACCCGTCACAATTCATGATTCCTTTTCGGAAGTTATTTTAAAATTAAATTATATTATATCAACTTAATATTAAAAATTTCACTATTTGAAACAAACTAGTACTAACTACTCGAATGACCGAAACAGTATAATCCCATTCAAATAAGGACCGATGAATTACTATTTGAATTTAATGGAAGTTGGTAGGTTTTGTTAATTTTGGGTTAAAAAATATTTAAAAAATTGGTAAATCAAAATTCGGAATATATTTGACCTATTTTCTTTTTCAAAAAGTGGATATTCACTTAATTCGCCCAAATATATGATGACGAGCTTTTTAGTATGAAAGTGAAATCCTTAAATCAAAACAAAGAAATATGGCAAAGAGAGTTTGTGTTGATGGAGAAGACAGAATATCAGAATTGCCTGTTCATATCATTCATCACATCTTATGCCGCACTGACCTCGACATCGAAGAGGCGGCAAGAAGTTGTATTTTGTCTGAAAGATAGTACTATTTGCTGGACTTCAAGGCCACACATATATATGACCCATGAAAACTATGTGTTGACACCCGATTTTGACCTCGACGACATAATTAATTAACGAGCTTATTAATTTTAAGCGACTTGAAATAATTAGATATACATAGAATAAAGTGTTTCTCGAATTATTTTATGTTAATATTATTATTTTCATAATTTTTAGTTAATATATGTATATAACTAATATATTTTAGGATTATTCGAAAATTCATATCCAAGAATATTTTATTGTGCTTAAATATTTTATTAGCCATTAAATATTTTGTATTTTTGACTTAATTATGTCAAAATTTCATCGATTATTTTATTTCGTTACAATTAAGAAGCTTATTTAATTGATTTATATTAATTAATCTCATCTATTTAGCAAATATTTAAGGGAAAATTGTATATAATAGCAAACTAATAACCTAAAATAAATAGAATAGCTAGGGTTTGATTTAATTGTGCTCCATAGCAAACGTTAGCTAAAATTTGCCAGCGTCTCTCTCCCAGAAATCTCGCTCGCCACTCTCCATTCTCGCTCGCCTCTCTCGCTTTATACACAGAAGTGTATAATTCTGTTTCTATTTTGTATAAAGCGAGAGAAAATTGTATATACACACCCAAAAATATATATCTTCTTGTTATACACTTAATTATACAATTTACAAACATTTTACTTCAAATATTGCAGAGAAAAAGGCCAACGAATTATACAATTGTGAATTATACAATTGCAGTGAAATACAATTTTCTCTAGCTTTATACAACAGAAGTGTATATATTGTGTTTTTGTTTTTGTATAAAACGAGACAAAACATATATATTCTTGTTATACACTTATAATTATGCAATATACATACATTTTAATTCGATTCAACTGTATGCAAAGCAAATTTTATAAAAATATTACAGCGAAATAGGCAGCGAATTATACAATTGTGCATTATACAATTGCAGTGAAATAGGATAACGAATTATACAATTGCAGCGAAATAGGCCAGCGAGATACAATTTTTGCCAGCGAATTATACAATTTTTGCCAGCGAATTATACGATGTATATGTATAGCGAATTATACAGTTTTATGTTTGCTATGGAGCACAATTATGCAAACTTTGCTATAACATACAAATATGAATTTTTTGTTTGCTATATGTGAAAGTTGCCCAATATTTAATCCATTTGGGTAGCCATTTCGGACCTCTTATTTTTCAACATTTCCATCCAGACCAGGCCCAAAATCCAATTCAAACCCAGCCCAGTTCTTGACCCGGTACAGCCCATTTTTTCTCCCCTAATTTCCCTAGTCCAAATCCCTTGTCGCGATTAGAGAGGCACAGAGGACAACTTGTTGCTTTCCTCTTCCCCATCGTCCCTCTCATGATGTACGACTAGCAGTGAAGGGCAGCAGGCGGGGCATGCCTTTCCGTCCTTGTGGCGTGAGATTGAGCCACACAAGGTCGAGAGGACAAGTCAATCGATCTGAAGCGTCAATTTCCTTTTTTCCTCTTTGGGAATGAGTTAAAATTCCCCAGAAAAGGTGGTCTCCCCTTTTTGGTGCGGTGATTTGAATTTCAAATTATGGGGTAAGACCAGAGGTTGATTCAGTATTTCAAAGAAATTTGGAACCCTAATGAACCTCCTATATATTGTTCTGTTCTCCTCGGCTAAAGAAGGTTCTTTGGGTGGGGGAGAGTAAAAAAAAACATTTGAACTAAGAATAGAAAAGAGGGCAGCAGCATTAAAAGAAATTATATTAGAGAGGTTTCTTTTTGGTTTTGGATTTTTGGATAAAATCGAAAAAGGGAAAGGGGAGGAGAATATCTTTGGGGAGAGACTTGGGAATAGCGGAAAGAGTGGCTTTTATTATTTTCTAGGAGTTTGAGTAAGAAATATTGGGAGTTCGCTCAAGAAAATAACTCATATAATATATAGAGATTCGCGTCTAAGGTGGAGGGGTGGATATTCGATTAAGTTATCCAGTTCCCTGCTCGTCTCACAAGTCCGTGTTCAAAATTGGAAGTTTTGTCTTAGCTTCTTTTGTCGTAGTTCGATTTGGTGAATCGTCGCAGTGGTGGAAGTAGTCGCTCTCAAGCTCGTTTTGTTCAAGCCTCTCTACCCCGGAAAAGGTAAACTCTCTATTATTTTTGTTTACCTCATAGTTCTCTTGTTGTAATTTGGTTTTCTGCTCAAATGTTCTCCTCTTTTGCTATGCATTCGTAAGCTAGATTCTAATCGAATATTTGAATGTTCGTTCTTGTTTCTTTGTTTCTTGTCATTCATAGGTCATTACGAATGTCATTAGATTTATCAATACTTTCACTCGTGTTTCCTTCTTATCTCGTTGTGTGGTTATGGTAATTTTTAGTTTCCTTCCATGGTAAAAGAATATTCATTTCCCCATTGCGATTTATAGAGCATCGGAATGTGCTAAAAGGTTATGAAATCATATCATAAACATATCTATGTATATTTTTTTAAAAGAAGAAAATTATTGATCTCTAAGTGTAGCTTAGGCCTTTTGATGTTATGTGACGGTCGAAAAATCTGAAAAAATTCAGTCATTGTGGTAGCCACTTTGCACTTTTTATATGGTCTGTTTTTTTTTTTATCTAATAGATGAGCTGAAAATATCCGTGACTTTTCCTTCCTTGCCCAGATCTCTTCTTTCTTGGTATAACTTGTTTTAAGGTTGGTCGGATCAGATCGAATAGTGTTTGGCTAGTCGAGGAAGGAGTATGTTTGTGGGTACGGTTTTATGTCTAGTGTATCTTTGGTTGAATATTTATTTCCCCTCTCTGTCGTCATACTTAATAGTTAGTATATTTAAACTACCTCTGCAAGTTTGAAGATTTGTTTTACTTGACCAAGGTTAGTGCTTCTTATTTTTTTAATTTATTCTCCTTTTCAATTTAATTGTAAACCATCACGCTTGATTGAGTTGGTTTGTTGTTTCAGCTTGTTCATAGATTCCGGGTATCTCGATGTGTTGCCTACTTCCCTTATGATTTCATTATCTATTTGTAGTGTCGAATCCAATTTTGTCGTCCCGTGTTATGATATGGGATTCATTATTTGGAATCTCGTTATTCCAATTTTGTATTTCTGGAAAGGAATTATGCTAAAATGCCTGTAGGTAGGATTGATATTTAATGCCTGTAGTTTTTTTTTGCAATATGACCATACTTTCTTTCTTTTTTTTGGATTTTTGCTCACTTATTTATTTTATGTGTGTGTGTCAAAGTACTGGGTCATTGTTTTGTTCACTTTAAATTATCTTTTAGTGCTGCCAAAGGGTACACATTTCATCACTGCTAGCATCTAATTTTGTTCTAAATAATCTGCTAGGTTTATTCACTCTATGTTAGTTTATGTTAGTTGGGTTCTCTTTTCCATCATAACAGGAAATCGATCCCTGTTAATTTCTCTTGTAAAGTCGGAAATTATTGTTGAATTGAGTACATCGGCCGATTTTCAAGTTAATAATGGGATTGGAATACTCCATAGCGTTATCGACATTTGTTCAAAATGGGAGGTTTATATGTGGACAATGCTTTTACTAATTTGGGATCAATAGTGTGTCTTTATTTAATCGTGCGTTGGCGTATTGTTAACTATTCCTCAAATCTTTATCCTGAAAGTGTCTTAGTGCTTTATTTCCTCTTATGAATTAATATAAGTATTACTTATGTGTTTTATTTGCTTTTGATACATGTAAAATCTATCCGAGCTCGTCATGAAATCCTCCTCCTTTGCAACATGAGAGAGTCATTAAGACTCGATTTCTTTTAATCAAATCTCCCACCCCAAAATTGGAGTACAAATACGAAGTTTCAAGAATTGAAGATAGTCGGAGGAGATGGACTAGAAGATCATTTTATTTTTTGCATTTTGTATTGTATTTATTTTCGGGCATAAGCCCTTGTCGTCTTTTACTTTATTTATTTTTGTATAATTATTTGTTTAGTTTAGGACAGGTACAAAATGGGTCGAAACCCAAAAGAAAATGGATCAAAATCCAATTCCCCGCAAAAACTGACTGTTGGTTTTAACGACTCGATAAAATCAAGTAAAAGGCGTAAAAGACTTTACAAGTTAAAATTGACTTAGATTAATGATTTTCTCTTTCAAACACAATCCAAAATGTTTTTTTGGCTTTGATTTTTCA